ACCAGGTGAGGAGTACAAAGACAAGTATGTCTTGCCTACAGTCAAGCATGGTGGTGGGAGTGTTATAGTCTGCATGAGTGCTGCTGGCACTGGGGAGCTACAGTTCATTGAGGGAACCATGAATGCCAACATGTACTGTGACATACTGAAGCAGAGCATGATCCCCTCCCTTCAGAGACTGGGCCGCAGGACAGTATTCCAACATGATAACGACCCCAAACACACCTCCAAGATGACCTCTGCCTTGCTAAAGAAGCTGAGGGTAAAGGTGATGTACTGGCCAAGCATGTCTCCAGACCTAAACCCTATTGAGCATCTGTGGGGCATCCTTAAATGGAAGGTGGAGGAGCGCAAGGTCTCTAACATCCACCAGCTCTGTGATGTCGTCATGGAGGAGTAGAAGAGAACTCCAGTGGCAACCTGTGAAGCTCTGGTGAACTCCATACCCAAGAGGGATAAGGCAGTGCTGGAAAATAATGGTGGCCACACAAAATATTGACACTTTGGGCCCAAATTGGACATTTTCACTTCCAGTGACCAGTATTAGATAGTGAGAGCGATAACACCAAATTTAACACAACTGCTCCCCATTCACACCTGAGACTTTATAACACTAATGGGTCACATGACACTGGGGAGGTAAAATGGCTAATTGGGCCCAATTTGGACATTGTCACTTAGGGGTGTACTCACTTTTGTTGCCAGCGGTTTAGTCATTAATGGCTGTGTGTTGAGTTATTTTGAGGGGACAGCAAATGTACATGTTATACAAGCTGTACACTCACTATGTCACATTGTAGCAAAGTGTCATTCCTTCAGTGTTGTCACATGAAAAGATAGAATAAAATATTTACAAAAATGTGAGGGGTGTGCTCACTTCTGGGAGATACTGTATTGTGATCATCTTAGTTGTCATTGAAGTGACAGTTTTCTTGCCAGATATGTTGAAACATACAGTGGTGACAAGTTGGCTTGAGAACCATGTTATGACATCTGCTCAGTATTCCTTTGTGTTGGTGCTCTGCAGTAACCTGTACACATAGCTTCACTTTCATCTACAATGTAATGTGGAAGATCAGGTTCTCTCAGGGCTCAGGTCACTGCGTGGATGATAAACATGACACTCCTTGTAAGTGACAATGGGACCCCATTATAGTACCATTACCATCATAGCCTGACAATGACCTTTTCAACTGGCAGCAACCTTTGTGATAGGTCCGTGTGAACATACTGTACAGTGGGGCTCAAAACTCCATGTAGCCACACTTTTTTTGTCATTGCGAAAGCTGTGCAAATGTCACAATGTTTTGTACTGTGGACCGTACCAAAAACTCTAAATAAAGGCAGGTAACATTTAGAACAAAAACTCTTAGTTCTCTACCAAGCATTCTTCTTGGCATCCTATGCAGGTGGCTTTTGCTTCTAAAGAGTCCACAAGAAAAAACACAGTTTTTCCCAATTCAAATAAACTTAAACAAGACTGAATAGAAACTATTTTTCATTTTGGATAATGCAGGAGAGGGTTATAACCCCATTACCTGTATAAAAGGTGCAGATTTAAAAATACTGAAAATGACTTTTGAAGTTAAAGCTTCTATGTGAGTCTAGCAACTGGGTTTACATCGACTTTTCATTAGCACTTGATGTATGTGTCTTCTAGAAGAGAAGGTTAGAGAAGAAGTTTGGGGAATATAGAAAAATGTATGTGTAGCACTTACCCCTGAAGGAGCTGCTGTGGTTTTGCCCAGGTCTTCCATATATATATATATATATATATATATATATATATATATATATATATATATATATATATATATATATATAGTGGCAGTGCGGTATCCTGCCACGGTGGAAATCACAGTGGTGACCCAGGATTCTCAACCATACAGGTTGAGGGGCTCCAGGCAGTTCTCATAGTGCAGAGGAAACGGGTTTATTGGTTTCCTCTTTGGTTTGTAAAGCCTGTTTTGGGACCTGTAGCCTGGAGATTTCTAAGACATTTGGAAGGGATGAAATCTCTAGTCCTGTGCCCATGTTTTGAGAGCAGCCAGCGTGCTGATTGCACAGGTGTGTGCAGGCCTTTTTTGTGGAGGCCATGCCATGATTCTGGACTCCACCCCGGCAGATAGGAGTCAGGAGTGCTCCACCCCGGCAGACGGGAGGTCTCTGCCTTGGAGTCAGGTGGGCTTAACCAAGGAGAGGTGAAAGCCAGACTAGCTGTGTGCTAGAGGTTTGCTGTGTGCACAAAACAACCTTTTGGAAGGAGTCTGCAGGAAACAGACATAAAGCGGTATACCTGAGAGAGCCAGAAGGCTGACATTTGTTACATTTGGGTGATGGTGGATACCCCTGCGTGGAAAGCATTTTGGTTATTGAACTCTTTCCTTTAAATAAAATTGGGCAAAAAGGTCCTTAAAAAGAAGCGAGTTGCTGTGTGCTTTGAAGAAGTTCTACCATTTTGAAGCTAGTTCCCACACAATATATATATATATATATATATATATATATATATGCCCTGCAGCCATGCACAAGGTATTTCCCACAGCCAGGTGCACATACACTTCCGCTCTTTGTCTCCAATAATCAGTTTAGGAAATGTTGTTTTTCTTGTTTCATTGGATAACTTGGACAGGGATAGGGAATTTAGCAGGGTACTTCAAGAATAGAACTAATTACAGTGAGGGCACTATCTGATCTCTTAGTCAAGCTCTTTGTGAAGCCCTTGCTGGAGCAGATAAAAGTCCCTTGCAGCAAAGAGTAACCGGACAGAGCTCTTCAGGACACCAGCCAGTATCCCCTTTGTTTCAGACTCACACTGACTATAAAGCACTGGAGGGGTAGCAAAGCACCCAAAGTCCCCAAAATCCCTCAGTGTCTGTACTCATAAGGCCCAAGGACGGAATGGCAATGCCCTCCAGTGATACCAGACAGATCTCTGGCAGACAGCTCCCCTCAGTCAGCTTTCTGAAGAATCATGGTCACTCTTTCTCTTACTTCAGGCCCTAAAGTCGTCCACCTGAGACTGCATGGCAGCAGGAGCCAGGGGAGGCAGAGTGCCCTTCCCTGGCTTGGTGCAATCCTCTCCAGGAAAGACTTGGAAACCAGTATGCTCGAAGCATAAATACCTTCTCCCAGCATTCCTCATGGCAGCATTCCCTGTGATTGGCTGGAGTGGCACCTATACAACCAGAATATTCCTAGGTTGCTTGAATGCAGAGGAAAACAGAGGCATTACTAGCAGCACTTGAACACACTGAGCAGCCACTACTAAATAATTGCAGCTCTCTGTTAAGCAGAAAACCTAATTCGATTTTCCTAGTAGTTCTGTTAATCAGAGGAACCAGCTATAATCTACTTATCCTGTTATCCTAGCACCTATCTAGGAGGGTGCTACATACACTATATTACCAAAAGTATTGCGCCAGCCCTCCAAATCACTGTATTCAGGTGTTCCAATCACCTCCATGGCATGTATATAAAATCATCACCTAGGCATGCAGACCGCTTCTACAAACATTTGTGAAAGAATGGGTCGCTCTCAGGAGCTCAGTGACTCCAAGCGTGGTCCCGTGATAGATTGTCACCTGTGCAATAAGTCCATCCGTGACATTTCCTGGCTACTAAATATTCCACGGTCAGCTGTTAGTGGGATTATAACAAAGTGGAAGCAACTGGGAACAACAGCAACTCAGCCACCAAGTGGTAGGCCACTTAAAATGACAGAGGAGCGGGGTCAGCACATGCTGAAGCGCACAGTGCGCAGAAGTCACCAACTGTCTGCAGAGTCAATAGCTAAAGACCTCCAAATTTCATATGGCCTTCAGATTAGCACAACAACAGTGCCTAGACAGCTTCATGGAATGGGTTTCCATGGCCGCCGAGCAGCTGCATCCAAGCCTTACATCACCAAGTGCAATGCAAAGCGTCAGATGCAGTGGTGTAAAGCATGCCACCACTGGACTCTAGAGCAGTGGAGATGTGTTCTCTGTAGTGAAGAATCACGCTTCTCTGTCTGGAAATCCGATGGATGTGTCTGGGTTTGGTGGTTGCCAGGAGAACGGTACTTGCCTGACTGCATTGTGCCAAGTGTAAAGTTTGGTGGGCGGGGGATTATGGTGTGGGGTTGTTTTTCAGGGGTTTGGCTTGTCCCCCTAGTTCCAGTGAAGGGGACTCTTAAGGCGTCAGCATACCAAGACATTTTGGACAATTTCATGCTCCCAACTTTGTGGAAAGAGTTTGGGGATGGCCCCTTCCTGTTCCAACACGACTGCACACCAGTGTGCAAAGCAAGGTCCATAAAGACATGGATAAGCGAGTTTGGGGTGGAGGAACTTGACTGGCCTGTACAGAGTCCTGATCTCAACCCCATAGAAAGACTTTGGGATGAATTAAAGCGGAGACTGTGAGCCAAACCTTTACAATGCACTTCTGGAAGATTGCCCAAACATTCCCATAGACACACCTTGTGGACAGCCTTACCAGGAGAGTTGAAGCTCTTATAGCAGCAAAGGGCAGGGCCAACTCAATATTGAACCCTATGGACTAAGACTGGGGGGCCATTAGCCACTTGCCCTTCAGAAGATTTACCCCCCCCCCCCCCCTTTTCCTGACCAGGCAATTTTTTGCGATACGGCATTGTGTTACCTTAACTGACAATTGCGCGGTCATGCAACGCTGTACATAAATAACATTTATGTAATTTTTTCCCCACAAATAGCTTTCTTTCGGTGGTATTTGATCACCTCTGCGGTTTTTTATTTTTTGCACTATAAACAAAAAAAGACTGACAATTTTGAAAAAAAAACAATACTGTTTAAAATAACATTGCGTCATAAATTTAGGCCAAAATTTATTCTGCTATGTGTCTTTGCTAATAAAAAAAACAAAATCCCAGTAAGTGTACAATAATTGGTTTACGTGAAAGTTATAGCATCTACAAATGGTGGTATATATACTGTATGTTTTTTTTTTTAATACTAGTAATGGCGGTGATCAGTGACTTATAGCGGGACTGCGGCGGGCATTCTGACACTGGGGGGGAACTGACTAACTGCCACTGACATCCTCAGTGACACTAATACAGTGATCAGTGCTAATAAAAAGCACTGACACTGTACTAATGACACTGGGCAGGAAGGGGTTAACATCTGGGGTGATCAAAGGGTTAACTGTGTGTTAGGGAGTGATTTTATTGTGTACTGTGCTGTTTTACTAAGACCTGCTGCTTTCTATCTCTCTGCTGTGCAGAGAGATAGAAAGCAGCGTGTCCATGCTTGTAGGAGAGAGATCTGTGTTGTTTCCACGCAAATCTCTCCACTCGCAGCTTCGCCGACAATAACCGAAGCCAAAAAATGCCATCTGGGACAAGGTGATTGACATCCTCAGGAGCCAATAGCAGCGCAAGCAGGGCGGCGGGCACACACCCTACCCAAAAATGCAAAATCATATTTATGTGATTTTGCCCAGCGAAGCCTCTCTGTAACAATACATCTGCTATGGGGTGGTGGGCAAGTGGTTAAAGTTCATGTGCGTGTAAAGGCAGGCATCCCAATACTTTTGGCAATATAGTGTAAATATATTCACTTCTATGCTGCAGCATCAGTGTGACCCTCCAGCTGTCCCACATCAACTCTAAGATTGAGTGATCACATGGTCGCTGGTGTATATTCACAATGCTCCTGCTAAGCAAGTCAGCATCTAAATTGAAAAAAGCACCAAATCAAAACAAATACCTCAAAAGGAACAAACAACCCACTGCCAAATGTGGGGCTTCATCAGGGGTTAGCCAATGTGCAAATTGTGTTCTTGAATACCACATCATATACAGTATGCTGCAGCAGTGGCATGTGAACAGCCTCCTCTGGCTGTATTTTACACTTTAGGGGACTTGTGTGAAAGAAGTTGTTCATCTCATTAGACACCAAATCAAAACAGATACCCCAAAAGGAACAAATAACCCAACATGTTTCACTGCCAAGATTGGGGCTTCATCAGGGATTAGCCAATGTGCAAATTGTGTTCTTGAATACCGCATCATATACAGTATGCTGCAGCAGTGGCATGTGAACTGCCTCCTCTGGCTGTACTTTACACTTTAGGGGACTTGTGTGAAAGAAATTGTTCATCTCATTAGACACCAAATCAAAACAAATACCCCAAAAGGAACAAATAACCCAACATGTTTCACTGCCAAGATTGGGGCTTCATCAGGGATTAGCCAATGTGCAAATTGTGTTCTTTAATATCTCATCATATATGATGAAAAATCCTCCTGCGCTTAAATGGAGTCCTGCCCTCAAAGCTGCTGACACTAACCTTATACCCAATAAGTAAACAGAACAATTAAATAACCAGTGTAGCGCTAACAAAACTAAATATAGGTGAATAAATAATTAAATCCATAAATAAACTTAATACATGCTGAACAATCCCCTTTTAATACACACCGGGGAAATAAACATAAATAAATCAATGAATAGTGTCATACGTGAATTCCCTCTCATAGGGAATAATCAGTGCATATAGTGAAATAAAAAACCATAATTCAATACAGTGAAAAAACACACAATAGTGCACATCAACTGTGAGCTAGTAATTAGTTCAAAAAATTCCAAAGTCCACGATGCTTATAGTGATCCTCCCACTTCACTCTCATGCAAAAAACGTGCTGTGTACGTAATTCACAAGTGCCAATCCTCCTATATCCGAAGTGCCCCCTCACCTCCTTACTTAGACCCCAGCAGGGCCAGCTCGCTTTAGGGATCAACCGATCCTGTAAGAACAGACTCCTCTCAGGATTCCCCACACTGATGGTGAGCGTCTCCAGTCTTCACCAAACTAGCAGCCAGCTCCTCCCAGGGTCATAATAAAATACAAGAAGAGACCCTCCATAGTGTAACCAGTTTAATTGAATAAGTGTTTAGTTAAAAAGTAATACACTCACATATAAAACATCACATCTCCAGCTTTTTACCACATGCTATGGGTGTACTGCATGGGTATATACAAAAAGGTGATCCAATATGGCCCCCACGCCAGAAATGACGTCACCACGTTGCCGGAAGTTCCTCCCCGCGTACCTATATAAGCTGCTGCAGTGGCATGTGAACTGCCTCCTCTGGCTGTACTTTAATTTTTAGGGTGTGGAAAAGGCTGTTCACCTTGTGAGGCTGGAGATAATGGCAAACTGCAAAGATCTTTCTACATGCTGTCCGTAAATTCAGAAGGTGTGTCACCACTTGCAATGGTATATGACTATATATAGCGGTGTGAAATTCTCATTGTATCTGAAATGACTTCCTTTAGACCAGATAACAGTCATACTAAGATATTGGTTTACGGTGCATTGTTTCCTGTCATTTAATGCTCTTATTATGTCATAAAAAGGTTATATTTTCTAAGAGAAACTTACTACCTGGAGGAAAGCGTTTACCTGATTGCATTCTCATGGCACGTTTTATTCCACAAGAAAGCTGAGCTGACCATTCAACATACTTTACAGTTTAAAAAAATGAAAGGCTTTCAGTAAATTATAGCTACTGGCTACAGATAAAAGTAGTTCTTATTCCATACACCGTTCCTGGCTCTGTTGTGATGGTTTTGGAACAGCGTTCCTTTTTTTAAACAGTAGGACATGTGGGAAAGCAGACCATGCTGATGTCGAGGACCTTATGTAGCTCAAAGTTCTACTTCTTATATTGCTGCTTTACCAGTGATTCCCTCTCCATACCTTTTTTTCTATAGAATCTCATTTCTGCCTTTGTTGAGTTGTAATCCATAGGGGCCTCCATAGCTCACAGTCCTCCTGGAGGGCACAAGTAGTCAAAGCTTGAAGTTTCCAGTATTGGCCCTGGCCTCAACTCAACTTCCTAATGATCTGAAGGAGCTTGCTGTTTCGGTATAGAAGTACAGTGGCTAACTGGAGACATCATTTTCTCCATAGAGAGTTCCAACAGCAAATCCGAGAATACTTTAATTTCTACTACTGAGCAGGGGTGGACTGACCATTTGGAAACTCGGGCACTGCTCGAGGGCCCGGGGTCAGTAGGTGGCCCCATGAGATGCCCCTGGTCCCTTTTTCATAGACTTTTTTGAGTTTGGGCAAGGACACAGGGGCTTATGATCCCCTATTGCCCAGGGGCCCCATGAGTTGTCTGTCCGCCCCTGCTACTGAGCCTTGATGCATGTAAATCTGAGTGATACATTTGTCCCTTCCTTTCTGCTGCAGATTAGCTCTGCTGTGCAACCTCGTCCCTACATTTTGTAGCCAATGTTAAAGGACTAACTGAAAATGTAATTTATCAACCAAATAGAAGTCTTGAATTTGCTTCAAGAGAAAGTGTAGAAATTCAACCTCATCTCTCTCATCATAGTTGGGTAATAGCAAACTTCCCAACTTTCTGGGAAAAGAGAGAGGGATACTTCTGAGAACAATGTATGCAAGCAAAGTATGTACCCTATGGCATGCACCCTGTCCTCATGACCCACGGTTTTGCTAAATTTCTCCTGAGGTCTCTTCCCCACATGGAAGAAAAATATATTTGAAATATATTTTTTAAATATTTTTCCCACATATATTGACATATATTTGAAATACTATAATTTTGGCCGTATTCAATATATTTCAAAATATATTTCAATAAAATATATATATATACTGCAAGTTGAAATGCGTTTTTTATATATTACAAAATATATGAAAAATATTTTTAAAAAATATATACTTTTTTAAAATATATTCTTCAGATTTTTTTTAACACATAAAAAAGTCAGTTTAACATATATTTTTACATGTATTTGTAAATGCATTCCAAACATGTAGATTAAATGTATTTTTAAAGACATACAGTATATTTGGAAATGTATTTTTAAAAATATTTTTCATATATTTTATAATATAAATGCATTTCAACATACAGTGTATATATATATATATATATATATATATATATATATACTGAGCCAAGCCTTGCTCAATCAAGGGAGCTAAGCCTTGGGAGGTAAGAGTGCTGAAATGTTTGATATTTCAGCAGACCCTTTCTCAGGGCAGGTTCACACCAGATGCAGCCCAGTGCTTTTTTTTTCTGCAGCAAAAATGCATGCACAGAGTTTTCTATGTATTCCAATGACCCTAGTTCACACCAGTGCAGTCAGTTCCAGTCAGTGTCTGGTACAGGAAAAAACAGAGACCATGCTGCATTTTTTCTGCACAGAAGTGTACTGGAACATAGTAAAACGTATCAAAAACGCAACTGGCGAAAAAGTGTGGTCTGAACTGTGAGCAAAAACTCATCCAGAATCCATCTGGAGTGCGTTTTTGTGGTGTGAACTGGCCCTCAAAGCGTTTTTTTAGGTGTATCAATATTTCTCGTTTTACACTCCAACAATCAACATAGTATGAAATACTTAAATAAGAGGAGGCTGGGGTGCCCTCAGGTGAAGGGTGACTCCCAATACATACACTAGTGCCACATCCTAATTTTTGCTGGTCAAAAGAAACAAGTATAATACAAATGGACTTTAGAGGCACAAAGGCTAAATACACGTATTAATAAAATCAGTATTGCTTTATTTGACATTACGTCACATATAGACCATAGTGTTATAACACTTGTTTAGTAATATCCCCGCAACGAATGTCCCAAAGCCCACCATGCAAAGAAGGAGCACAACCAGTGATGAGGCATGGAAAAACCACCAGGATGGTCCTATAGGGGGGTGAGGGACATTCTGACGCTGGAGAGTTTTCCCAACATTTTTTGGGAGAAAAGTCGCTTCTTCAGGGGCTATTTGTATATCTAAAAGAAATACATAGACTTAGACAACAAAACAAAAACAAAAAATCATATAGACATGATACAAAGCTCATAAAGCACATAATCCACTTACATAAAATCTCATTATGCACCAGACAGTCATGAGCCCTCCAGTCAGTGAGAGCAGGCCTCCTCTGAGTACCCAATGGGGCAGAAACCACCCAAGGAGCCAAGTATGGGGGCGCAAATATTATGAAATAGAATGAAATCATGATTTGATAGCTATCAAATATTGATACTGATTGATGCCCATTTTCCTTAGGAGATATAATGTGCCCAATGGCAGACTCAGGCCAAGTAGAGTCAGACTATTTTACGAATTAACAGCTAATAGCAGGTGGTGGAGTAAGAGTCATCCCACTAATGAGATATACCGCCTTTCTCAACCAGGGTGCCTTCAGGCCTCTTCAGGGGTGCCTTGGCAAAGTGCCTAAAAACTGCCCAAAAATTGTATACAAGCCAGCAGGTGGATCAAGCCTGCCTTTTAGTTACACATAGGTTTTCATTGCGTACTTTTACAACCTTCCAGCATCCTAACAACCAATGACGTCATTAGTTGATAAGGAGGACATCAGGTGCCTGCACAGCATCCTTGTTTGCCTCTCTCCTCCCCCTCTTTATCAGCAGTGGG